TCCGTAGTAGTTTAACTTTTTTATTACAATGCTGTATTGACTAGGGGTGGGAGTTAAGGTTAGTTTTAGTCTAACTAAAGATACTTAACTAAATTTTTAGTCTAACTAAAATTAGTTAACTAACTTTTTAGTTAACTAAAATTAGTCGACTAACTTATTAGTTAACTAAAATTACCCGACTAACTTTTTAGTTAACTAAAATTACCCGACTAACTTTCTAGTTAACTAAAATTACCCGACTAACTTTCTAGCTAACTAAAATTACCCGATTAACTTTTTAGCTAACTAAAATTACCTGATTAACTTTTTAGCTAACTAAAATTAAGCGACTAACTTTTTAGTTAACTCATATTAGTCGACTAAATATTTAGTGTAACTAAATTTAGTCGACTAAAGCAAGATTTAGTGCTTGAAAAAAGAAATAATCTTTCGCATAAAAATTTTACACACGAGGAAGCATTATTAAGGCGATAAATATTATTTTATCGAAATTAAACACTTTACTAGTTGTGAATCCTAGAGCCCATTCGAACTAAACTGTTATTTAAAAGAAATGTTTTAAGCAAAATTCGATTATTTTAATTTTTTCCCAGCTCGAGACAACTGCCTATGAAGTTGCAATACGTAGTTTTTGCAATACGTAGTTTTTAAGCACTTTAAAATACGTGTAAAACCGGGTCGAAACAATTATGAATTAAAATTCAATAACTTTTTTATTATATTTATTTTTATATTTTTTCATTAGATAGATGTTTAAAAAAATACTAAAGAATATATAAATAAATATAAAAAAAAAAACAACCAAACTATTAAAATAATAAAGGTAAAAAAGTTTACTGTTTTAGGCAACATTTTAATAAAACCGAACGCTCAAGAACATTAAAATCACACATTAATTTTTTTAATTTTCAATTTTTTCTTTATCTTTTTTTTTTAACACATTTTAAATTTAAAAAGCTATATTAATTTTTTAATTTTTTGTATCAAAAAAAAAAAAATCAGTTTTACTCAAAAGAGTTCGAATACTAAATTTAATAATATTTCTTTTAGAACAATAAATATATTAAAAAATATTTATTACAAGAAAAAACTTCAGTATTATATTTAATGAATTTAAACTAAATTAAAAAATTCCAAATTTTCGTACAAAAACATCAATATTTGAAAACATTCAGTTGTTATTCTGTTTTGCTTTGCATACGTAAGTATAAGTTTGCATACGTTTCGCTTTGCATGCATAAGTGTTTAATGCCTCAGAGAAAAGGTGTTCACTTAGTGCACTGGTAGCAGGCGTACATAAAATCATTGTTGAAATACAATACATTATTGGATATACATGTTAATTTTGATACCAAAAGTGTAAAAATATTTTGCTCATTTACTGACAATTTTATATAACCACTAATTTCTCTTTTTAAATCTAAACTTATTATTTTGTCACTATCGTTTCCGGAAATATCATCTTCATCGTCAAATGATAACTTAAATTTTTTTAATTTGTTTGTCACCTTTTTAAATAGAATTATATCACAAACTTTTTTTGTTTAATGAAATTTCGACAAAAATTCTCTAACACATTTAAAAAATTTTTTTCCCTTGTACTTTTCAAAGAATTGAAAACTTTTATAATTTGGATCCAAAAAAGTGGCACATAATAAAACCAAGTAATTGTAATATACTGTAGCTTACAGGGCCGGCACAAGTAGGTAACACGTAGAGAGTGCCGTTAAAATTTTACTTACTAGAAATAGGAAAAAAAAGTTCTTGTTTTTATTTACCAACTGACTGTTCTGAAAATCTACATTTGCCAACTTACTTATCTAAAAGAGTCAAATTGGCTAACTAAATGAGCTAAAAGTTCATTGATGGGATGTCACACACGAAACCAACCAATCCATCCTCACCCTTTGCGTTGGCCTTCGTAGCTTATTCAATTCTATAGATATTTGTGTTTTACTATGTTTACTTTTTGTATTTTTTTTATGAAAAATTTTCTTGAAGTATCTTGTTTATAATATTTTCTTGAAGTAAATTATTTTGATATTTTTTTATTTTTGCGGTATTATGCGATAAAATGATTATGCATTTGCAATCTTATTCAAAAATTCTAATAGAAATGATATCATGTACCCAAATTGTTTATAATATATCTTTATAAAATTCTTTAGTTGGACTAAAAACAAAGTCGCGTATATTCAGTTAACAAAAAGCTTAGTCGGTTAATTTTAGTTAACTAAAATGTTAGTTTGGTAATTTTAGTTAACTAAAAAGTTAGTCGACTGATTTTAGTTAACTAAAATCTTAGTCGGGTATATTTAGTTAACTAAAAAGTTAGTCGAGTAATTTTAGTTAACTAAAAAGTTAGTCGCGTAGTTTTAGTTAACTAAAAAGTTAGTCGACTGATTATAGTTAACTAAAAAGTTAGTCAACTAATTTTAGTTACGGTATTTTTAGTTTAGTTAGTTACAATTTTTAGTTTTGGTCACAACACTAGTATTGACCGTATCAAAAGTTTTTTGAAGATCTAGAATACACCACAAGCAAAGAAACCACTGTCAATCGCATCACGAATCATTTCAGTAATGCTAATAAGAGCATGAGAAGTGGAGTGATTTAAGCGAAACCTAAACTGTCGAATATGAAAACAAGCAGAATTAATCGAAAAATTCTTAATGAGAGAATACATAAGTTTTTCTAAAAGTTTGCTGACATTTGATAATAATGAAATTGGTCTGTAGTTATTACATTCAAGTTTGAGTCTTTTTTATGAATCAGAATAATAGAAGCAGTTTTTATCAGGGAACACACCCTGTGATGAATGACAGATAAAAGTTTAGAAAGTACAGGAGAGATATCATTTACAAGAGTTTAAAAATAGTTATTGGAATGCTGTTAGGTCCCGAAATCTTGCTGTCATTAAGAGAATGAATAATAGAAAATACTTCGTTTTTGTCTGTAGGTTTTATGAATATTGATTTAAGATTATGATTTTTAGGATATTTAATTACGTCAGTATTGGATGACTGAATCGTTTTCTGTAATTAGGATTCTTTGTTTTAAGAAATTTATTAAATTTTTTTTTTCGTATATTAATCGAAGCCAAGATTCCTCGTGTTATCCAAGGTTTGAGACTTTGAGAATGGTGCATGTTTATTTTAAAGAGAATTGAAACTTGTGAAAAACACTTGAAATGACTTATTAGTATTACATTCATTGACATTGATTACATTAGTCAGGCTTAATTTTGAGAAACCATTACATAATTCCTCGCAATTTTTTTTTTTAATTCGACGAAAAATGCAGTTTATAGGAGGATTAATTTTGGTTCTATAAAATAGATGTATTAGAAGTTGGGGTAAGGGGTCATTCGCAAACTATGTCACACAAAAAAACAACTTTTTAGACCCCCTCCCCCCTTGTCACAAAAAATCAAAAAGTATTACCCCCCCCCCCCCGCCTTGTCACGTTACACTAAAATTTTTATCTTTTTTTGTTTATTTATAAAAAAACAACAAGTATTCTTCAGTTAAAATTTTTATTCCTACTTAATATTTTTACCAAACAGAATCAAGATGTTCTGCAATAGAAAATATTGGAATTGACTATTCTTGTTCACAACCTATCGCTTCTATAATCGTTTTTTGATATCTGAGGTTTTCATCTGGTCGTCCGTCAGTAAACATTATAACAATTGGTTTTGTATTACCATTCAAATCCAACATATTGTCTCAAAATAGCGGTAGTTAAAATAATACAAAATCTCTAACGTAAGAATAAGTAGTGGAATTCGAATGTTTTGCTGATCTTATTGAAATATAGGTAGAACTCGAGTAGTGCACAAATTCTTTTTTGCCGAATCCATCTTTTTCAATTTTTAGCCCAGCATAGACTGATGGAATAAGTTTATGGCATGAAGCAATGATAAAATCGTAATCAGGTAGTCTTACTTTATATTCCGTATGCATGATCAAAGGAGCTTGTAAAGTAGTTGATGGGAAACCAATTGGCACTTTTGCTTTGTCGTCTTGGCTCACTAAAGCAACTTCTCTTGAAGAGAAATTGAATGAAGATCTCTTCCTGAGTCTTACAGGAACAGTAGTGACATGCCTCTTCCCATCTATTGTGTGAGAATTTTTTGGTACAAGATATTAATAGACTGTTGATCTGCCAAATTAAACCCTTCATTTTGCAAAGCTTCTGTTAACTTATCAAGTGATTTAACTGTTCTTAAAGTCTCGCATCTTCTTTTGCCAGCTGCAGTTGCGCTGTAAGTGGCAGTCTGAATAATTGTTGATAGTAATTCCGGTTGACTTTCAATAACAGAAGGGCGTCCAGTCTTTTTGTAAAATGTTTATTGATCAAAACGTCTTGGTCGGAGAGTGCGTTGATCATGCGATGACACAGTACTTGAAACTTGAGATGTTTGAAAGGTGGAACTATTTGCTTGAGAAACTGAAAGTTGATGAAGTTAACAACGCTGAATGGTCTTTGAAAGATGCTGCTTTGAACTATTGATGGGTTTCAAGAAGCTTGATATAGTTCTTTTGGAATTATTCTTTGTTTCTTGAAGCTCCAGAATCTTAGCTTGCCATTTATTCTGAAAATCAGGATCATTTTTTATCGAATTCCAAAAGATGTTGTATTCATTATGCGATTGTGATTTTGATTTGCTTGACAGATGTGCTTCAGTCATTTGCTTGACAGATGTGCTTCATTTTAAAACTTTTTGTAGCAACTATATATATATATATATATATATATATATATATATATATATATATATATATATATATATATATATATATATATATATATATATATATATATGTGACGGGTGGGGCGTCACCCCCAATCATTGGATTTTTGTACCCAGGGCCGTATCTAGCATACAAAGACTGGGGGGTACAATCGTCAAATTAACCGACAAAAATTTTACTTTTGTTTTTTCGGAAAAATTTTCAAAATCATAATTGCATTCTTAATTTACTACCTGTAACACGTTAAAAGAAATAAAATATATTTTTTCTGAAAGATTATATAAATTTTACAATGCAAATGAAATTTACAGTATTTCAAAAGCATATACAAACAACAACAAATTTAACGTATAAAACGCAAAACTGCGTAATCAATTACTCAATTTGAATACGTCTTTGTGTTGTTATAGACCATTTTTTTACCAACACGTCAAGATCTATATTGTCCACTTAATCTTTTTCTGACGCCAACAAAATTAATGACATCAAGTTGAAGGTTATTGATTGTCAATATTATTAAATCTGCAATTCCATCACCCGTTTTGTCAGCTACCTCGCACATCTGCACAATTCTTTCTTTAATATTACAGTTATTATCCACATACCTTACAGCAATTGCTAACTTATCACTGTGTGACACATCAGGAGTTGATCTGTCATAATTGAAAACATCGATGCTTGGTTAACTTCGGAAACAATTTTGCTTTGAACATCTTGTCCAAGCAAATGAATGAAGTTATTTTGGGATTTAGCACTCATATATGTCACATGATATTTTCTAAGTTTTATGTTGCTCAACCATCGTTTAAGTACCAAATTATGTCTCGACATAAAATATACCAACTGTCTAAAATTTCCATTTTCATCCCGATCATCTCCACGAAACGCGATTGTTTGCCTACCCAATGTTCGAGCCAAATCAATAAGAACTTTTATAACACACTTATTAGACTCCATTTCTTCTTTTTCACTAATAACAATTTGTCTTTGTTTCTTGTCCAAGAGGAGATTAATATGTTGAGCACTATTACAATAATTGCAATAGTCTAATAATGAAGCTTTATGAGATTTTGAAGAAAAATGTTCTGATAGTTTTCCTCTTTTACCTTTCTTTTCTCGACTCTTCATTTTATGCCACGTGCGGATACCGTTTTCAACCCAAGCATTTTCAATTTTCAATTTTCGAACGCTGGCCAGGATCATGCGAAAGAAAGAAATTTTTTGTAGTAAGTGTTTCAATATTATCATATTTTCTTTTGTTTAAAATGTTTGCAAGAGCTTGGTCATTGGCATCCAAAACATTCTCTGCTGAAATTTTTACCTCAGAAGCAAGCTCTGTCATTTCAATGAGAAGTTTTTCCAAATGTAAATTGTCTGTATTTTTCACTTCATCTAGTTTTAATTCGCACTCACTTAAAAGTTTACACAGCTTTGCAAATTTACCCATCGAATCTGAAAACGTAGTCTCTTTTTCCAATAAATTAACATCACTCGGTTGGGATTCTACTAACAGAGTTTGATCACAGAAATCCAAAATTTCAGGCACTGCTAGTATTTCATCATTAGTAATATCAATGTTTTTACTCTCATTTATTATCTCACATTCAATTTCAGATGATTCATTTTCAATTGCTTCAGAGATTTTTGTCAGATTTTCATTGATATTTATTTCCACTTCATTTGTAATGTTGCTTGGGCAAAGTTCTTGGGCATTGAAATTAATTTTAGACAAACTTATTTTGCTGCACGATTGGGAATTTATTGCCGAATTGGTTTCAAAAGGGTTTCGTGGTGCGCCATACTTCTCATAAGGTATCCCTTTATGGTTTCGGATATAATCCAAATGATAAATTCGATTATGTGTCATCCGATAGTCATTATCAAAAATTGAATGTGAACAGTTCTTGACTTTGCATTTGACTTTGTATCTTTTAACACCAGGATGTGGCATCTTGAACCCAAAATTTAAGATAATTACAAATTAAACTAATAAAATATTCGCCTTAAAAAAATATATAAATGATTTAATAAATTTTAAACTTTTTAAAATTTTATTAGTAAATACGTAACTTACAAGTATAAACAAAATAGTTTATTACTTCTTTCGCCAAACTTCCAATACTAGTACCAAATTTCTAATAATAAAAACACACCGCTAACTAAACTTTGATTTCTTCTGTGCAAACATCAAGCAAACAAGTCTCTTGATTAAGATTCTTGCTTTAAAGTAATTAGAAATTGTTGACTAATTACGTAAAGCAATTTTTGAGAATAAAAAACGGCAACCAAAAACATGCTTAGCTGAGTTTTATTTGTTATACGCGTTAAATTCCTAAAAAGAATTAGTTTTTTATCCTTTGAAAATTAACGTTAAGGATGATATAAAAACATTTTTGCAATACAGAAAGAACAAGAAAATAATAATTTTAATATTTTGTCGGTTAAATAGTATAATGGTAAAGTTGTCGGTAAGATTACAATTTATTGTAATCTTACCGACAATTTACCATTGTACTGTTTAACCGACAAAATATTAAAAATCTGGGCGGGTGGACACTTCCAGTTGGCAAATTGGGATATTTTTGTACTTTCAGTCGGCAAAAATGGGGCTTTTATCCATTCTAAGCCGGATAATTCTCAGATCACCTTTTTATTTTTTTTTTAATTTGGTTATATTAGGGCAACCCCTTCCACCTTACTTGACACCTACTCGCGCCGGCCCTATATATATATATATATATATATATATATATATATATATATATATATATATATATATATATATATATATATATATATATATATATATATATATATATATATATACATATATAAATATATACATTTATATATATGTATGTATATAAATATATATATATATATATATATATATATATATATATATATATATATATATATATATATATATATACATATATAAATATATACATTTATATATATGTATGTATATAAATATATATATATATATATATATATATATATATATATATATATATATATATATATATATATATATATATATATATATATATATATACATATATAAATATATACATTTATATATATGTATGTATATAAATATATATATATATATATATATATATATATATATATTATATATATATATATATATATATACATATATAAATATATACATTTATATATATGTATGTATATAAATATATATATATATATATATATATATATATATATATATATATATATATATATATATATATATATATATATATATATATATGTATATATATATATTTTAAATGACTAAAACTATTTCTGTTAAAATGACTAACTTCGTGTCATTGAAAAAGTACATATATTAGAATAATCTATATAATGAGTAAAGTAAACCAGATAAATAATAAATAGACAAACAACTCAAACACATACACAATGGACGAGGACAACCAAAAACGCAACTAAACAAAGAAATAAACTATGCAAATCAAAAAATACAAGAGTACTAATTTTCTTTGCTTTATTTTTTTTGTTCGAGAAATTGCTTTTATTCTCTTCTTTGAAATTTTTTTTTTTTTGGAATTTACTTTTTAATTAACTTTTTAAAAAAATTTTTTAGACAAAGACAAAGTTAAGGAACAATATTTTTTTTTTTTTTAACTTTTTGCTTCACTTTTCTATTGACTTTTTTTTTACTTTATATTCCCTCGAACTAGCCCCCATGATACGAGCTCAGTTGAATGTAGAGGGAAGCTGGCCACTTAACAGCTTCTATAAAAGCAGTTTATCAAGCAAAGTATCTTGAAAAGATGATTGACAACTCCTATGAGGAGATGCAATTCCATTGGTGGAATATTTCTAAGATCAGAACATTGTCAGGCCCACTGATGATTGGCTTTTAAATGACCCAGCTAAAAAACTTTGCACGAGCATCAACCCCATCATCATCATCAAGATACTGAAAAGTCTCGAGGCTAGATATGATTGAGTTCAGCGTTTGCAAGCTTCCAGATATGGCAAGACACTTGAATTTGGCGCCACACCATGTACAAGGTTGCATACTTGAAAGAATTTGAAGATCGATAAATATATTTGCAACATTCTTATTGCAAAGCAAAATTAGTTTAATTTCATTTGCATAAATCAGTGACCAGATGTGTTCAAATTGGAGTTTCTAGAAAATCTTTTAATACTGCAACAAAAACCTGCCTCATAACTCCAGTGTTTTGCTAGTTTTTTGAGTGAAAGGTTGTTTTTGATGCAATGAGCTGGTATCAACTCTTAACCGAGTGTCAACAATGCTTAGACAAAACCTGAGAATAACTTTACGACCATCAATTCCGAGCTTAACAAAAAATCCAACAGAAATTTTTAGAGATTGAAAAATATAATTCACAAAACTTGGTAAATCATTGCAATGAGCAACCTGAGAATAACTTTACGACCATCAATTCCGAGCTTAACAAAATATTCACCAGAAATCTTTCGAGATTGAAAAATATGATTCACAAAATTTGGTAAATTATTGCAATGAGCACATTACCGTCTTCTACCACAACAGTGCCCTATAGTGTACAAACTGTAGGAAATGTTCATCAAGAATTTTATAAACATAGGTCATGGTATAAACGAAAACAAAAACCATCCAGAGTAAAGAGAAAAAAATCTGCATAACTGAGCGGAGCAGTAAGTATCTTTAAAGAAGTGGTACCATAATTTGATTTACTAGATTAGGCAGCAGAAAGTCATAGTTTACGGTTCATAACATTTTTAATCCTTAACTGCTGTTATTAATTATAAATTTTAATATTAACATTTAAAAATATTGAAGAGTAATTGACTGAAAGAGTATATTAAGCTATTTAATAAATTTCTTGTAGAAAAAGACCATTTAATAATCAAAGATAACAATATATATAAAAAAAAATCATATAATACCATTAAATTAACCATATCATAACCATAACCATAAAATCATACAATACCATTAAATTAACCATATTAGATTAACAATCAAAGATAATAATAATCAAAAAAAAAATTTTAACACGAGGATAAATAAAAAATGAGAATAATTCTAACCCTCAGAATTCAACCGCAAAAGTCAAATAAAGAAAAGAACTCATATGTGAAACTATACTCTCTCTGTTTACAAACTTATCATATGTTTTGCTTTGCATCAGCTAACTCAGTTATATTTAAAATGCTGTCAAAACAAGATGTATTACGCTAGCGCATTGTAAAGTTCTATCAAATACACGAAAATCTCGCAAAAACGTTTTCTGTGAAAATATTCCAGTATCAGCTATTCACCGTATTTTGGCATCCTTAACAACTAATCACATAAGTGGTAGTGGAAGACCAGCTGAAATAATGAACAAGAAGGGACTTTGTTTGTTTCACGGTGCTTTTAACAACAATGATTCAATAAGTCAACGAGATGCTGTAGAAAGGTTTAAGTGTACGCAGCCTTATATCTGCAAATCGTTAAAAAAACAATAATAGTCTGCCAAAAAAAAATTAAAGTGCCGGAATACACTGAGCAACAAATATCAACTGTGAATTCTCAATGCTGCTGGATGACCCAAAATTACTCTGGAAAATGTTTTGTTTTGGATGACGAAAGTTACTTACCCCAAAACGCAAGTTCCACGAAATGATCGATATTATGCAGATAAAAGTTCTACAACACCTACAAAAGTAAAATACAAATATTTTTATTTTTTTTTTTTTTTTTTTTTGTTCTTCAATTTTACAACTTTGTGATTTAATAAATATTCGTTAACAATGTATATATATATATATATATATATACATGATCGTTATTAAGAAATCAGGTCAGGTCAGGTTTTCCTGCTACTGGTAACATGTAACCCAGTACAACCTGCTCCATGTCCTGCTGCCTTGTAGGATACGCTTTTTTAGGCAAAGGCTAGGAGAAGTTAACTCCGATTTAAAACACCCCCTGCCTTGGGGCTCTTGGTTGAGTAAAGGCTAGAGATGGTGTCTCGATAAAAATACTCATCTTGGGCAGATGTTACATGCATCCAGCTGCTGTCTTATAGAAGGCCTCCTAGGCAAAGACTTAAGGGGTAAACAGATTCTATCTGTTGACCAGCCTTGCACCCCTTCCTCATCTATTAGGCTGGCGCAGATGTATTTTTAATACATTGTTTCCAGTTTAGGATGTTGAACGCTGGATCTTCTTGACTCAATGCGTGGGTATTGCTTGTGTCTCTATTTTTATGACTGGGCAACTCATTCTATTATCTCCTAATGAGGGTACAGCTCTAAAACTCAGTTTTATGGTTCTGAGGCCGGCTGGTAGTCAGGTTTCCCGAACTCTGTGGTAGCTCTCAGAGAGGCTGATTCCATCAACAGCCGAAAAATATCAGAGTACTAACAGTGCCATGTTGCGCATGGATGGTGTCCCTGTTTGTACTTTTGGTGTGCATTGCAGAGGCCACATTTGGAGCCCTTTGTTACGGCTTAGGGTTTATTAATAGTAATGAGGCTATTGCTTAGTTGTTAAATAGTGTACTGAGTACTATCTATACTTGAGTCAAGTTCTTTATAAATTTAAAATGAATAAAGTACCTAAAACTAAAAAACACAAAAAACCATTGTCATCACCAAGTTCTCTAAACCTATCATTTACTAATATTCGTGGTCTTCGAAGTAACTTTTCTTCTGTTGAGTCTTATCTCTTGCAAAGTTCACCAGACCTACTTGCTCTTTGTGAGACTAATTTGAGTTCGGCTGTCCCATCTTGTGATCTTAGTGTTGATGGTTATCTTCCTTTAATTTGTAAAGACTCCAATAATCACATGCTTGGCCTGGGCATCTACATTCGTAAGAACTCACCCATTTGTCGTGAAACTAGGTTTGAATCTACAGACTATTCATTTATGTGCTTTCGTTTAGCACAACTTCACTCTATCGCCTTTCTCTTTGTTCTATATCGCTCTCCTTCATCCCAAGATTGCACTATTCTTGATGTTATTTCTGATCAAATTGACCAAGCCCTCTCTCTTTATCCATCGGCCAATATCGTCGTTGTTGGTGACTTTAATGCCCACCACACCGATTGGCTTGGCTCTAGTGTCAGTGACTCTGCTGGCGTTAAGGCCCTCAACTTTTGCCTTTCTCAATCTCTAACTCAAATAGTCAACTTTCCAACTCGTTTTCCAGACAA